GAAGACCACCTGCTGAATTCTGAGGCCGCTGCCTCTAAGGATGGCCGCTAGGCTTACGGGACACTCTGGTGGTCGCTAAGGGATGACGTACTGGACGCTCCATATTACAAAGGATCCTCGTTTCCTGGGAGGGCTCCACAGTCTCAGATCTGCTGAACTTGCATCCAGCAAAACTTGTAGCAACACCTGGAATGAAAGGTGGGGTTCATCTTGGTGCATTTGCAGTGCCTTATAACAAGGGGGCTGTGATGAGCCAGCGAGTCAGGACCTGCTCACAGCTGACCCTCCAGTGAAGTTTTTAGAATCTGTAAATTGCACAGGAGGAGACTGACCATCTTATGGAGCAGCTGGTGGATTTGAACCACCAGCCTTTGTGTTAAAAGTGCAACTCCTTGCCACCAAACCACCAAAGCTCCCTATTAAGGGGGCTGTGGCACATTAAACAGCATGAACAAAAATCTGGACGCCCTGCTAGGGAGTGGTCAGGGGGACTGGGCAATTGACCCAGGAGCGGAGGGGGCACAGGGAGACAAGATCCGGTCACCAGCAGCTAAGGCTGTTTGTCCTGGGCGAGAAGAATTTAATTTGTCCTGTAAAGTTCCACCCAGGACTTGAGGGTAGAGTGGAAGTTAGAAGGGGCGGGAAAGGTTAGCAGGGAGGATATGACCTAATAGTACGAATGAGTAAAAGTCACTCGGGCCAAATTTCAGCTTCTTGCAAGAGCCCCATTGCCACCCCAGTCCTGGCACATGGTATGGTGCGGTATGGTACTTCAGTGTTCGCTGTAATGAGTTCCCCGTCACAGGGACCATTTAAGAAGAGCCTTGGGAAATATGAAAGGATTCCTGCATTTGGATAATTACACTGTGTAGTTGCCTCTGTTCTCACACTAAGAGTAATGCTATGTTCACTTTGATGCTTTGCTGCTGCCTTCCTTAAGTTCTTAATAGTTTTTAAATGTATTCCAATGTATTTGTTCGAGATACTGAAAATGATAACAGCTCGTCCTAGGCAGGACTGTCCTCACATATGACAGTGACCCAAATGAAACCGACTGTGAGCTGGCTAGAGTGTCTCAAATCTGAGTGAGGGCTCTGGCTGCCTCTGTTCCCCAGACTAGCTCTCATCCATGACTCTCCTCAGACGGGCCGTTTAAGCCATTTGCTTCTTCACAGACCACTCTCCTTCCAAACGCAACATGCATTTTTGCCTGAGGTACAGTACTGAGTTCCCCACCAAGGGGAGCATTTAAGCAGAGCCTGGAAAAATATGGAAGGATGGTTGCATTTGAATGTGATATTGGGTTCAGAAGGCTCCTCCAGCTCTGTGAGAAGCCACACTACAAAGTCAGAGCTGAATACATCACGGGGTACAGATAGGGATACTCAGACCTTACTCCAACACTTGGGGGAAAGAGAGAGCTGGCTTGAGCATCTCTCCGCCCCTGAACCACTTGTTTAGCCCAAGGTATGGAGCATGGTAAGTGGTCAACCTGGGTCTTATGCCCACCATGGTGGGAGGACATAATGAGATGGTGGAAGGAGGGTCCCCAGGCACATGGAAAGGGATTACTTTATAAGAAGGAGTGGAGAATAGGTACGGAGCAGGCATTAAGAGTCAAGGACTCTGCAGGGTGGTGAGATTATGAACGTCTGCCCACTCCCCCTCCCTGTTTGCTCGCTCTTGGCTCAGTAGGGGCCAGGTTGCCAGGGTAACTTCCCTGGGCTCCCAGTTCAGGTCTCTTGGGCAGTGGGGTCCCAGGGCAGAGGCTCCATGCTGAATCTGCCTGTGAGCTTACGAGCACACAGTCCCTGTGGGCTGGCACCGTCACACTCGCTGCTGGCGCTGGTGCAGCATTTCCGTGGAAACTGTGGGCTCGGTGGAAACCCCCTCGCGTCCATCACCTTCACTGCAGGGCTGCATGGGAAACGGGGACGTGGGGGCTGCCGTGGCAACTGCTCCAGCATAAACACAGCCTGAGGATGGTGGGGGCGCTGAGTGGGTGTCCATGGATATCTGATGGGTGACTTTCCATGCACATGCTTCTGGGGACCCTCCTCTTTCCACACCCTGGGGATCCTGCATTCTCTGGGGAACAGAGGCGCAATAGAGATGATGACTGGGCCAGAAGTGCTGAAGTGTTCCAGTCCTAGCTACTTGGCTTGAGCAAACGATTTACCTTCTCTGGTCCCATCTAAAACTTCTCTGCCTACTTCAAGTTATGGGCTTGTGGTTTAAGTGCTGATGGAGCTTTTTTTGGATGTTCATTCCACAGTCAAACAGAAATGAAACTAGTCCAGTCAATTCTAACTCATGGTAAGCATTCCACGTGCGTCAGACAGAATTCTCTCCAGAGGGGTTTTGGTGGTTGATATTTCTGAAATAGGTTACTAGGCCTTTCTTCCAAGGCACTTCTAGGTGAATCCCACAAGCCTGGGTCCACCTCTTAATTTCTCTGTGTGTTGGCTGTGTGACTTCATACAAGCTAATTAACCTCTCTGGGCCCTCTTTCCTGCATCTCTAGAATTAGGGAACCCAGTCAGTATCCATGTCACAAATTGTCTATGAGGATTAATTGAGAAAAATGCATTTAAATGCTTAGCACAGCCCATTGTTGTTGTTGTTGTTAGGTGCCCTCAAGTCAAGTATGACTCAGAGCGGCCCAGTGAACAACAGCTCTGAACCCTGTCCTATCCTGTGCCATCCTCACACTTCCTGACACATTAGAGGCCATTACAGCAGTCACCATGTCAATCCACCTGATTGAAGGTCTTCCTCTCCTTCGTCAACCTATTGTCTTTCTGAGCATGATGTCCTTCTCCAAGAAATAGCCCCTCCTAGGAGGAACATGCCCAAAGTGTGTGAGGCAAAGCTTTATCATCTTTTTTTAAAAGGACAAATACTACATGAGACTTTATTATAAAAATATAAGGATAACTAAAACATGTATGGAAACCAAAGGGGATAAGAGGTGGGAACAGAAGGATAACGCTGGGTAGGGGCAGAATCATAGGATTGTACAGTTTGTTGGTTGATGGGAGGGAGTAAAGGAAATGGGAAGGATCTGGAGGGGACCTGAAAAGACAGTATGAGGGGTGTGGTCCAATGATGATTAATTTTATAAACCATAACACACGGGAATGATTGTGTGAAACACAATGTATACCAATTTTGTAAGCAAACCAACTATTGTTGTTTTTTTTTTACCGAAGAGTTGGAACAGACCCATAGCTGACACTCTCGTGGGTTTTCAGAGGCAGTTAATCACATGGGAGGAGACTGCCCATCCACAAAGCAGCTGGTGGCCTCGAACCGTGTGCCTTTGGGACTGCAGCGCAGCTTCTTGCCACTAGGCCATCAGCGCTCCCTAAGCAAGCCAATATAAAATTAAAAACAAGGGGAGCTCTGGTGGCCTAGTGGCAAGGAGCTCTGGTGGCCTAGTGGCAAGGAGCTACACCTACAATCCCAGAGGCGCACAGTTCGAATCCACCAGATGCTCTGCTGGGAAAGGAGGGACAATCTTCTCCTGTACCAGTCAGATCTGATTTGAAAAATGCACCACGCTGGGAACAGTGGGGGGTCAGAGGAAAGGAGGAAGACCCTCAGTGAGGTGGATTGACACAGTGATTGCATCATGAAGAAGGCACAGGATAGGGTTAAAATTTCTGTCTGTTGTTCACAGTATTGCTGTGAGTTCGAGTCAATCTGACGAAACCTAATCACAATTTACTAAGCTTTCTTGTAAGCAACTCAGGACAGTGATAGTGTCCCCACTCATAACGACCCCATCCATGTACCACAGGACAGAAGGACAGACGCCTCCTGATCCCGCACCATCCTCATCCTCACCACACTTAAACCTGTAGCTGCAGGCACTGTCCGCCCCCCTCACTGAGGGGCTTCCTGTCCTCTGCTGACCATTTACTTTGCCAAGCATGATGTCCTTTTCTCAGAGACTGACCTCTCCTGAGCACACGCTCAGGGCACGAGACAGTGTCTCCCCTCTTTGCTTCTAAGGGGCGCCCTGAGTGCACGGCTTCCCAGGTAGATTAGCTTGTTCTGGGGTACTCAGTGGGGCTGGGGGAAGAATCATACCGGGAGCCTTGTTTAGAGGGAGGCACGTGGAACATGGACACCGGGTGACTGATTTCCTGGGGTAGTTAAAGGAGTGGTGTGAGGAGCCAGGACCTTGGTTCTGTCTGCAGGATGTGGGTTTTCTGAGACACACAGAAGGGGCGCTGGCTGTCTGTGGAGACACGGGGGTGGGAATGTGTGTGTGGGACTCAGCATGCATGAGGCTTCTTGAGCAGCCACCGAACCCTCAGCCCGGAAGCACCTGTCCATCTGCTCCAGCTCCTCCTCCCCAGAAACCCAGGGGCAGAAGTGTGCTGACCCCCAGGGACCCCAGATCTCCTCAGCACGAAGGCTGCTTTTGCAGCTACTGCTGGAGAGGACAAGGTCCAGGGGAGAGGCCATGTGGAGCCAGGGTAAAGCTGGCACAAGGTGGCAGCACCCACTCGTGTCTGGGCTAGGTGGTCTAGGGTGGAGAGGCCCGACCTTAGCATGCACCGGTGGTTTCGGATTTGCCTCACTGCACAGCCGACTTGTTCCTGAAAAGCTGCTGTCAAAGCGTCCTTTTGCATAACACAAACTCCACACCTGCCTTATTTGTAAACCAGGGCTCGCACTGTGAAGGCAGCAAGGAAACCAGTGTCACTGCTGCAGGCAGGGAGGTGTGAGACAACACTGAGGGGTCGCTGAGGGCGGGGGAGGTCACAAGGGAACATGAGCCAGGGCAGTAAAACGATCAAGGTCAAAGGGCTGCAGAGAGCAGGGCAGACGGTAGGGGGCAGCACTGGACTGCGCGGGGCTGGCTTTCCCACAAGTGAACCTGAAATCAACACACTAGAGCCGTGACCTTGACCGTGTCCTCCCAGTCGGTTCCAGAGGGGGGCGTGCGTTCCAGGCAACCTGACTGGGTTCTTGCCTTCCCTCTGCAGGTGAAGGAGGAGATGGGTAACATCGTCCTCAAGCTCATCAGGAACTACAGCAACAGCAGCGAGGAGGGCAATGTACAGCAGACCTGGGACTACGTGCAGGCGCAGGTGAGGCGGGTGGGCGGGGCCTGCAGCAAACTTGGGACTACCTGCAGGCGCAGGTGAGGCGGGTGGGCGGGGCCTGCAGCAAACTTGGGACTACCTGCAGGTGCAGGTGAGGCAGTGGGCGGGGTCTGACGCGACACCAAGTGTCTGAGCGCTTGCGCACCGCGGTTTATTGTGCTTTGCATTATCTCACACCCCCAAAACCGTGCTTTCTACAAATGGATAGATTGTGCAGAGCAAGTCTACAAGTGCTGGTTTTTCTAACAGCATCTTTTTTTCACGTCTGTGTCACATTTTATTCTCACACTCATGCAAACTTCTTTTTT